GTATTTAGGGACATTCTATTAAGGGGACACAATTTTTGGTAAGGAAGGTGTCTCCTTGGCCTTAATAGAAACTCTAACATCAAAACTTTCATATAGCATCCACGTATAAAAATAAATAAACACTTAAATTTGGTGTGATCATTAAAACAGAAGTTGGGGCAGTTTTTTTTTGTTTTTGTTTTTGTTTTTTTTTTTTTTGGCAGGCCAAGGTCTAGGCTCACCTTGGTCTTTTTTGCCCAGCCAGGGCTAGACCTAGGCCTCCTCAGTCAAATCCTAGGTCTCTAGGCTTAAGGCTAGTCAGACTAGGGTCTAGCAGGCTAGGAATGAAACATCTGCCAATTAAAGCCTAGGTCGTAACCTATTATTTGTCTGATAGTACATTATTATTATTATCATAATTTAAAACATTGTTTAATCTAAAAAGAACCAAACTACCTACTATACTGCGAATCAAATAGGCTGTGACTTCTGTTAACAAGCACATTTGAGGGAAGCGATTTTTTTTTCTACAGGTACGTTGAGGCCAAGAAAAAAAAAATTCTTGTGACATTGTCCAAGTTTTGGAAAAATTAAAAAAATGGGTAGGTTGGTAGGAAAAGCTTTTATTTTTTTAATAAAAAAATTTTTTTTTTTAACCAATAACATTTTTATGCCTAAAAGTAGAAAATACAACAAAGATCATTTTAAAATCTATATTGAAGAGCAAAACGATCGCATAAAACACATCGCCTACAATCGCAAGATAGGCCCATCCTAGCATTTTAGCTTATTAAAAAATATTTTTTGTTATAGTCAAAAAGAAAAAAAAAATAAAATAAAATGCCGACCCTCAATTTCGAACAATTTGGGTCAGTTGGGCGTGGCTAATACAATAATTTTTTTTATTTAGCCTTAGCCTATTGCAAGGTCCCTAAGGTACAGTAGTTAAGCCAATCACTACACAAGCTACGTGCAGAAAAAAAAAACACACTTGTAATGTTGGTGGTGTACTTCACATCTTGTTCCTGGTGTTAAAGATGAAAAAAAAAACATGATCGCTTATCATCGATTATCGGCATTTTTTAGTCGATTTTCTCACTTTTTTTTCGGAAAAAAATAGAGGCAGCTAGAAATTCAATGTTGGGCGGTGATGCTAAACAAGTATTTTTTTTTTTGGCCTAATCATTTTTATATTGGGCCTAATCTACCTTGAGTATTAATTTAATAATAATATTTATTTGGAAATCGCTTTTGAAACAGCAGCACCGAACACTTTGACGGTGCATATATACACAAGAAATATAAAACAACATATCAATCAATCAAAAGGCAGGCCTAGACTTAGTACAATGTAAAGAAAAGGAAATACCAAAAAAAAAAAAAAAAAAAAACCCATTGAAATAATTAAATAAATGTACACTCTATGATTTCAGTAGGTTAAGGGCTACAGTAGGGCCTATGTAGCTAGAATTATTAGGCCCCTTACTGCTCGCATGAGCTGTCCAAAATTTGAAACATTTTCATTATACCGTAGTACATTCTGCTACAATAGCCAAGCCATACATTTCGTCAGTCTCTTTACGGTTCCGTCACTGGCAAAAATTAGACTTAGCACATAACAAGTCCCTGGTACAAGCTTCTTCTCTTTACTGACTGTACATTTAAAGGGACTTGGTGTAAAACATTTGAATCTGCCACTGTTATCAAAGGTGTATTAAATTAAAGCCAATACAGTTAGTAACAGAAGCAGTGATATCACTCACAGGAAGTAATCAATTGGATAAGGAAATATTATTAGTCTCGATCACTGGTATTCAGGTGTTGAAAGTGTACAATTGCATATCAATACTCATCTTAAAATACGAATAGAAACCATCAGAATATAAAAAGGATTGCCAATTGAAAATGAATATGTTTGCAATTTAAATAGTTTTTATTGGTAAGACCTTGTTCCACAGAAAATTTTATTTATAAGTACTTCCCAATCCATGGAAATTGGAAAGATTTAATACCAATCAAAGAGAATTAACATTTGGTGCTCCGTACGGAATACTCCTAGTCAGTACTGTACCTGTATGAAAATCGATTAGATAATTTACATGATGTTTACATACATTAGTATTGCTTAGGTACAGTGACCTCATGCTGTAAGTTCTGAGAAAAAAAACTGAGGGGTTTAGCTCAAACTTTAATGAATTATTTGAGCAGACTTCGCAAAATGTGGTGACCTCCCAAGCCTTGCTGCAAGTTTACTGAACTTGATTGTGAATTAACCTTTGCAAAATCTGAAATTAGAATAGGAATCTAGGCAAGTATTCACGAAAGACTCTGCACTTGACACTACTGTCCGGCAGTCTCATCAGCACTAGACGTTCCCTGGCCCCCAGATTAATGGTCTTTTTTGATTAGCATTTCACTTCCCTAATATAAAATCATGTTTTATTACTGCTGCAAAGCTTAGTGTAAGGATTCTGGCAACCATAAAACCAAGCAATGTGAAGCAGAATAAATTCACAACAAACAATTGTTTAATAAGTATATTTGCACAAGTAATAACCTTTGGATCATACAGAATAGCAAGGTTGGGTCTTACTGTCTAGTACTGTAAGCCACATGATTGGATGTAAGCAAATGCCTTGAATGCCCCAGGCTATAATTTTCTAGACAAATTGATGTAGTAAATAATGTTGATTATTATTTGGAACTGGACAGATTAAATGCAAAATTATTTTGGGGAGAGAACAAAGAATTGGAAAGTGCAAGATCTCACCTCAAATCTGGCATTTATAGGGCTATTGTACTGTATGGCAAAACTTGTGTTTTTTTATTACAAAATACATATCTCAAATGTTGGTAGTAAAACATAAATAAGTATGTTGTTAGACAGTGTAGTACTCTAGATTAGCATTTAAAAGCAATTCTGCTTTGGTACCAATTATTAAATGGTATAATTTATTAACCGCCTTGCATTAAGTAAAATACAAATTAAACATTGACGTATAGCCAGTTCACTTAAATGAATCCTCAAATGAGTGCACAAATACAACAGGGAATTTCTTATAGAATTTAAAGCTTTTTTTTTTCTTTTGTAACAATTAGAGTTACACCAGAGTAGCAGTAGGCCTATTAATGAATTACAGTAATTACTGATGAGTCTCTAATATTGTTTAAATTATAAAACTGCTCATTTAATTACGGAGTGACATGGAATTAAAAATAAACCCGTGTCTGTGAGCTGATAACATCCAGAGACTTACGATTACGTCGATTGTGGTGTACCGTAAAACCAATGCACTTACATTATCATATAGCATAATATCTCGATTTCACAACTGAACAACTAACAAAATACAATATTTCCACACAAAATTGATGGTGAATTGGGGTATAAAACATTTCCATTGGCCCTGATTCTAATTTGATACATTCAAAGTTATGAAATTTTCATGGAACCAGGGAATGGAATGAAATCATTTGGTTGTGAATTGCCTACTGTGTAACATCCGTAGTGCAACCATTTCTCTTTGACAAGTGAATCTATCGTTCCTCAAAAATATGGGGATGGACTCCACACCCTACAGTAGGTTCCAGCCATGGTATCTGTTGAGTAACATGCAAGCAATTTGGAATGTCATCTCCTGTATTGTAGGTTCAGTAGGCCTATCGTACCTCTAGCCACAACAAAATTATTAATTTATTGTACAGTATATTGTGTGCCTGTCTATAGCAGGTAGGGTAGGTCCTTATTTATACAGCAATCTGTGTTGGCATAGACTAGAGAGACCTACTTAATTACTAAATAGCGCACTCTCCAGCCCAACCCTCCCCATTTACAATACACAACCCTGGAGCAGATTGCTATTTAGGCGGGCTTACAGGTAACACTTACCCGGCTTTAATCGTGAATTCACTACTACAGTACTGGTCTATGATCATAGACCATTTGCTACACCGCAGTCTAACCAGTTAGCCATCTTAAATTTTAAAGCCTACTCGAAGGAGGCTTAAAACGGTCTTAAATCGTTTTCATCATGGCATTCTGCTGATTAATTCAACAGTACAATGGCAAGACCTAGGCCTAGATCGTCAAAATCAGAGAATCGAATATTTCGCACACTTCTCTGCAGCCTCTGTAAAAATGTCTATGTTTATTTACGTTAATTTTGATACATTTGCGTGCATCGAGCACACATTACGTTGCCCTCAATCAATCATACGTTACCAGGGAGTACTTGTTTGCGTTTTAATACTCAAAGCAGTCTTAGGGAAGACGGTTTTATAGCAATGGTCTTAGAAGAATGATTTTAGTAAGACTGTCTAAGGGATAAAGCCGGGTTTATTCGATGAGTTAAGACAATTTTATAACAATCCGCCTTAGGCAAAACTAAACAGAAAAGTCTTTTTTTTTTATTTTACTGACGATCTAATTTTCCTGGGAGTGCCTTTAATTTAACTAAATAGGCCTAGTAATTGTGAGTGCGTTTCGACATTTATTGGTCAATAATTTCTTTTATAACATAAATTTAAAATATCGACTTCTAAATATTACAATTTGAAACCAAGAAAAACGAGTACAGGTACTGCGTTCATTTCGCAAGGTAAGCTAATGCCTAATCAGTGATGTGCAACATCATGGTCAAAACAAGTCGATCACTGATGTAGGCTGCATGGGGTCATGATGGCGAATCCACAAACTCAGTTCATCTAAAAATAGGAGCTTTTCAAGGAAATGTGCAACGTACTCACTACTTTATATTTCCAAATAAATGCACAAATTGTTTTTTTCAAGCCAGCAATCCTAAAAAATAACCGTGACAACGAGCATCATAGGAGAGAAATCTTCACATTTACTGCAAACATCACAGAAGAGAATACTCGAAAGACCAAGCCCACTAATCATAAACACAGAGGAGCGATCTCAGAAAACCATAGGATGATGACCAACGCTTTGCTTAGAAACGCTCGTGAATTCATAAATTCAGAAAAGATCCTACATAAAAACAATTTGACAACATACTCACCGTTCAGCTCACACTAAATACCAGCTATTTTTCCACCGCTTATTTTTGCATAAGTTTAATTTTACATCTAAAAACGATTAATTTCCATTTAGACATGAAAAATTCAAACCAAGGATAAGCCTAGCTACACTTCAACCGGGCCTAATAACTTCTTTAAAGCAATATCCGTCCGCAAAAACAAATAACCCCCACTAAGGTGAGTGTGATTCCATCGCGAGGTGGCGGTATTGTGGGAATTTTTAGGACGCCATCTTTACGAAGAAGGTACTGTATTATTTACTCATGGCTGCCATCATAATCGCAACAAAATATACAAATCTATATTTTAACACTAGCTAGCTATAAACTGGTAAAATTGCTTTTTTTAAAAAGAACCCCGAAGTAATAATAGTAATACAGACTTTTACGTACGTCAAGACTGTCCCTTATACATTATGCAAATCAAGTGGCGCGCTAAACCACGCCCATGTATACCATTTTTGGAATGTATTGTATTTGTTTTAGTTTGTATTTGATGCATAAGTATCATTATTATCGTTATTGCTATGAATGTACAATTTGTTTATTTTGTATTATATTAATAGATAAAAGTTGATTTGTTTAAAAGACGTTGATTTTTTTAAAAGACGTCCTTTTTCTCTTCAGGCACCTTATCATATTTGACCTCTACTGCTCGACAAATTGAAAACTTCTTTGCTTACAAAATTTAATTGGGTTAATTTTTCACTTCGCCTTTGATAATGTTTTTGAATTGGCACGTTATAAATTTATGCATATTATTATTATTATTATTATTATTATTATATTATTATTGTTATTATTATTATTATTATTATTATTATTATTATTATTATTATTATTATTATTATTATTCATTTTTATACAAGTAAGATACAAAATGATTGACGGATGGATGATGATGGAATGATTGGTTGATTGATTATTATCATTATCATCGTCGTCATCGTTATTTCATTTCCTTTATTTAGTCCAATCCAAAGAACAATACAAATGACAAACACAACAGAGAAACACTCAATTCTCCCGGCGGCGGACAGGATTGCCAAAAATGTGAACTCAATCACTGTAGTGGCTCTCCGATTAGCATAAAATAGTCAAGTGAAAAAAATCATTAAAATATAGGCATATATCTGTCTCTTATATAAATATATAAGCCTATATATATTATATCTACAAAAAATAATTATCATCACTATCATCAATCAATCATTACCAATCATATTTAAATGTAGGCTCATACTCCTGGCTCTCCATTTTTCTATGATATTGATATCCATAATGAATAAACGCACTGACATCTCCAATATTTTCCATTACGCAGTTGATACATTTGTTTTCATTTCACCATAAATTTTAATCGCTTTTTATGTAGGCTTACTTATAGAGATTACGGTTTTTCCTTTCTTTTTCTCTGTAATGATATGCATATTTTCACATATTTTATGAATTTTAAAAGGTTTTTCTTTAGGCCTACATTTTTTTTGTTGCACTTCTCATTGAGAACAGTGCCCCTGTTACAAAAAGAGAGACACTAAAGTTATTATATTATCATAATATCATCGTCATCATTTATCATCATATCATCATCGTCGTTGTCGTTCTTGTTGTTTTGTTGTTGTTGATAATAATGATTAGCCCTTATCTTAAAAGCTGCTTGATTACGTTTTAATGCGTTCGATAGAGGGCAGTAGACCCAATATTGCAAAAGAAATTAAATGACTTACGAACATGTAACCATAGGTCCATCATCTAACCATGGAGGTACCTCCATGATCTAACACACACCGTGTGTGGCCCCAGAGAGTAAAATTAGTCGGGTAAACTAAATTAGAATCATTTTGTAAGGCAGAGACAGTTGACCCGAGAGTACCATTTTCGGGCACCTTGAGGGTTTTTTTTTTTAACTTCAGCCCTCCATGTTGGAGACTAAGGTGGGTGCGGCCCGTCTGTCGGGAAACGATGGACCTCTCGGAAAATTCTGACGCAAAGTAGGAGGAAAAATTGTTTTGATATGTTGCAAAACTGACATAGGCCTATTTGGCGAAAAACTCGGGAACAGTTTATGAAATTCAGATTTTTGAATATTTAAAAACTTGGGGAGAAGCTAGAAAAAAGTGTGGTCACGCCCCTTTTTCCCCAGTTTTTAAATTATTCAAAAACCTGTATAGCATTAACCGTTCCAGAGTTTTTCGTCAAATATGCTTTTTGTTTCTTAAAAAAATCAGTTTTACAACATATCAAAAATACTTTTTCTTCCGGAGCCTAACTTTAATTTCCTGGTAAATTACACAAGGTGTTGGTTTATACAAAAATCAAACTATACCCAGTAAAAGAATATTGTAATATAAAACAATAAGAAATAAGATAATTCTGTCTGGATAAATGGTAAATGTGGTCTATTTTATGTAAAAATATAGACTTCTCTTTCTCTGTGTTAAATGTTCATAACTCCTTGTATGTCGAATGATCATCCCTTAATAAGTTTATATGCTATGGCCTACAGTATATGCAGTAAAAATGAAACCTGTCACACCAACCAACATAATACAGTTTTCTGTTTAGCGGTAGCTCATTTGTAGGAGTTTTTTTTTTTTTTTTTTTTTTTTTTTTTTTTTTTTTTTTTTTTTTGTTATTTTGTGAGATGTTAGTTCGTAATTTTTCCGTGTAAGTTATGAATGTTATGTATAATTCCTGAATTGTTTGGCCTTTTTTGTCACTTATCAATTGTTGCAGTTCAAAAATTAAGATTCAGATTCAGATTTATTTTGTCCTTGTGGAAAATCATTAGGAAAAAATCGCATACAATAAAATACAAAAGTACATAGTAATAACAAAAAAGAGCAAAAAAATACTAAACATGCAATGTCAGTTATTGAATTTATTATGCCTGAAACGTTAATAACATAATTACGTTTTTCATAGCTTAATGATAGGGTTTGATGCCATATCATAAATCACTTAGGTTAATGTTGTTTATCATAGGTAAAGCAATATAAGATAATTGACGAGAAAAATGGCATGTGTTGAACTGACTCAGTAATTAAATTACTAATCATTTAACCATAGATAACCGTTTAACTTCCGAATATATTTAAGTAGATACTTTCTCGAATGTCTTGTTTCCAATACTATATTCGCATACTATCTTCCACAGATTCCAGATAACGGGAATTTCCCAAATTATTAGTAAATTGTCACGTCTCTTCATAAATTATTACGATCCATGATTGACATTTGGATTTGAGAATTCAAATGGTCACTTACGTAAAGAAGAAAAAAACCGGTTAAGGTTAAAGTTTACTAAAATATTGATGATTACGTAAAGAGAAAAACAGAAATGAAACCCAAAAGTTTTTGGGGGTATATATATACTGTCTCTTATACACATCTAGATGTGTATAAGAGACAGCCCCAATATGTGACAAGGGGGATGGTTATCAAAATTATCAGGCGACAGCACTGCCAACACCACACCATCATCATCATTATCATCATCATTTTGAACTGGCAGTAAAAACTGAACTGCATCAAAATTTACATGGATAAAAAAGGAAAATAGTGAAAACAAAATAGATAAACAATACAGATTAACAACAATATAAAAACAAAAAACACATTAAACCATAACATCAGAAAAATACTCCATCCACCAAATAGCTGGAAACACTTGCAATTATTTATCATTTGAGTTTAACAGTCTACGATTCGCAGGGAATCAATGGTTGAGGTTCTGAAGTGCCTAATTCCTTCCAAACTTACAGTTTGGGTATCACCACCAACGCTACAGTTTTAAAATACAAAGAGTAGGCCTAAAATGATGTCAGTTTTTATATTTAATAACCAGCTAAAATAACTGCCTGATATCAAAACAGGTTCTTATTCACGTAGACGCGATAAAACAAATATACGGAACGTCTCGAGTATTATTAACATAGATTACATTGAACTGCATCTGGGTGCGAACTAAAGAGAAATAACATATGGTTATTCTCATGCCACAAATGTATATATAACTGGGCCTAAAATAGAAGTTAGCAGTCACCGTGAAGCCGTGAACATACAGTAGAACGGCATAAACGACTTCTTTTTAACAATGAAGGAAGAATGTACTTGGTTTCTATGGCTTTATTGCCTGTGTTTTACAACAGGTAGGTGTTGCTGTTTATACATTTGATTTACCTTTAAAACACGTTACATTCAAAGTATTTATTATATATAAACTACTTCTACAAAGTGGCGCCACCAGGAGGTCTCAAGTTTGGTGCCCGGCACCTCTTCCCGTTTATATTTTTGGTTCAAACATAAAAATTAGTAGTAGTATTTTAATGGAAATAAGTGGCAAAGTAGTTAGTTATAGCATCGATAGTATTGCACTCTTTTTAAAGTTTAATGAATGTAATATTTTTATTCAGCAACCCCCACCCTCACCCAATTTTAAGATCCTGGATACGCCACTGAGAAATTAAAAGCGAAACAATGTTATTGTTTGTATTGTTTATATGCCTGTTGTTTCTGTAACCAATCAAGTTCTCATTCCGATTTTCAATGTGAATGTTGGAAAAAAAAAACAAAAAAAAAACAAAAAAAAACAAAAAAAACTATTTTGTATAAAATCCTTATAAAATATAATTCTTAGTATTCCCATCATACCTCCAATGATTCTTTCGTATATTATTTTTTTTAACGAATTATATTACTTTTATTGTTATTTTCTTGTATTCGAAGTTTTGAAGTATGGTAATATGAATTGCTTTCTTAAAATGTCATCAATTTAATCAATTAGTGCTGAGGTTATACAATTTGTAACCATATTTTGTGAATTAGACTAAAACTTACGATTCCACTAACACTAAATTAGACCTAATTTGTTTTATAACTTATTTTTTTTCAATCAACATACCGGTAATTGATATTGAACATCATCGTGTTTAATATTTGATACAGATATGTAATTTAAATATGCTTAGCATACAATGCTAAACTAAGCGTGTTGGATAGTGGTAAACTATTCGTGAAAATAAAACCGAATTCGGATTCAAATTTTCTACATAGGCCTAACTGCAAGGCATTCGAGTTTCCCCCAAGTTCTTATTCAACAGTTTTATCTCTTTTTATTTCTTTAAATATGTAACACCCTCGGCCCCTAAATTGTTTAAAATATTTCTAAAATGGGAATATAAAGAAATCTATATTCAAATATAGCTGGGCTATCACAGCGTCGTACGACCGCCGCACGACGAATCCACCTCTGCTTCCGGTGAGCAATAGACGACGTAACGCCGTCTGCTGATTGTCAGTGGCAGTCTGAACGGATCCTCATTTAAAAAGCGGTCCGTAGGTTCCGCGCCGTCGCGTCCGTTTTTCGTCGCGTTGCCGTCGCGCGCAATGAGTACCCGGCTTGAGAATGCAATTTCCGGCCATCTAGAGGTGCCATAATCAGGGCCACCGAGAGAGGGAAGGGGAAGATCCCTGGGCCCGGGGAAGATCCCCGGGGCCGTAGCTTACCAGGGGCCCCATAGAAATTGCAGGTAACATTGTTTTCAAAAATATTAATTGCTATCATGGGCCCTCAATCTTGGTATGGCTTCCCTAATAATGGGCCCCCTCCAGATTGACAGGGTCCCCTCAAAAACAAAATTTTGCGCTTTCGGCTTTTTTGAGCTTCGCGCTTGTAACTGGGGGCCCACACCAACCCTTCCACCTGTCACAGTATTTCCTCTTGGTGGCTCTGGCCATAATCACAAATGTTCTTACCTCAGCCCCAACTATAATGGGGAAAAGGGGGTATAGTTCCTCCATCTGTGAAAGTACTCCTCGGGCCCCCTCTAACAGTTTTATCTCTTTTTATTTTTTTAAATATGTTTTACTAAGTGTATTGTCATTGCTCGTTTTCTTTACATTTTTGCTAAGTTTTTACTAATTCCATTGGTACACTGTTTATTAAATGTATTGATAATAAATCGATTTTAGACCTTTTAAATATTTTCCATAGGTTTTGTGATAAATCAAAATTGCTATATTTTATTATATTTTCAGCATATTGGACACCATCGTATACAACAGCAGGTATGAGCTAGAATTAATTGAAGTATTATATTAAATGGCGAATTTGCGAAATGGTGCTGCCATGGGGTTTTTAGAAACTTAACACTACTCAGCTACTGCTACTAGAATGATTGCTATTGCTACTGTTACTACTACGGTACTGCTATGACTACTACTACATTGCTGCTACTGCTACTGCTTCTGCTAATAATGTAGCTACTGCTGCTGCTAGTTTTGCCACTGCTACTACTCCTCCTGATGCGGCCAGTGGCGGATTCAAAGCGGGAGGGGGCGGCCGGCCCGACCCCGCCCCTTAAATTGTTCAAAATTTTTAGAAAATGGGAATATAAAGAAAATATATTCAAATTCTAAGTCTGAGAATGCATCTAGAGGTGCCATAATCAGGGCCACCGAGAAGGGGAGGGGGGAAGATCCCCGGGGCCCTACCTTACTAGGGGCCATAGTAATTGCAGGTAACTTTTTTTTTTCAGTTTCCTCTTTTGGTGGCCCTGGCCATAATCACAAATGTTTTTACCTCAGCCCCAACCATGGTGGGAAAAAGGTTGTATAGATCTTCCATCTGTGAAAGTACCTCCCCGGGCCCCCTCTACTACTGTTACTACTGGTGCTACTACGTCTGCGGCTGCTGCCACATCACTACTACCACTACTGTCACCAATTTTACCACTATTTTGTTACTTCAGCCTCAATACAGTGCTCATCCACATCCCATTCCTTGATCCCCATTCCTTTACTAGAATCGCTGAAATATTATATTTCTTAGGAATTGACTCCATTCAAGAGTCCTCTTTGAAATATTATATTTTCTAGGAAGTCAACCTCAAACAATAGAGCGATTCGTTTGCGGTAATGAATCACACGTATTCACATCTCCTGGCTACCCAAGTGGATATGGCAACAACATGGACATCAATTGGACGTTTAGTACTCATCCTGGAAACTTGATCTCTATTGAATTCAACGATTTTGATCTCGAAGACTTCAGCGATTATATTTTTATTAGCAGTGACGGAGAAAAAATTGGGGGTTACACTGGTTCCCGATTGCCGCCAACAACGGTGTCGACAAACAACACACTGTCGGTTGTCTTCAAAAGTGATCATAGTGTATCAGGCAGAGGATTTCAAGCTGAAATATTCGTCTATTCAGAATCCTCAGGTGGGTTGCAAAAAATCTGTTACACACGGTTAATGACAATCAATAAAATTAAGTGTAATATTTTGTATCATCAACATGTTGCCAGTTGGTTTTAGAGAAATGTTTTGTTTTTTCTAAACAGAAGGAATTTGTTCGGACTTTAATGATGGATGGTGTGGCTGGACCCACTACAGTAGTTCTAGTCAATGGCGACGTTCTTCTGAGAGAATATCTGGCGTTGATCGAGGCAATCGCTACACTTCATCAGGTTAAATTGCAAATTGTATAATATATATACTCTCAACCAGTGGTGGTACAAGCGGGCATTCCACCACCACTCCTTCCCCTTCCCCGTGAGACAGGCCGGGTCGTCGGTTCAAAAAAAAAATTACAAAAAAAATTGCCTATCCAAATAATGTTATTTTGATCGCCAATCCCTAATATTGTAGTCTAAAAGCATCATCCACACTAAGCCGGGACCCAGCTAGACCGAGGCACTGATCGGCCTCTTGGTTCGCACCCCACACCCAACCCCCCGTCGGACATGTCGGATCCCTTGTCGGCAACTTTCTGGAGCCACCGCTTGACCAATGATGCTCAGTTTTTAGCATATTATTATGTCATGATTTATATTCATGGTTATAATAATGATGATGCTAAAAATATCATAAGATTAATAACAAGTAATATCAGTAATATCAGTAACAATTAAAATGATAACAATGGTGATGAGAATAATATTGAAATAATATAATGGTACATAAGTTAATATAGGGATACGGTAACTACTTTCGTACTTTGATATCCTACTATAATAGTATGAGTGACCTTCAATGATGTAGTCGACGACGGTGACTATAATACAAGACACAAGACAAAATAAAACAAATGATTTTCTTGAAATATAAAAAATACAAGTGACATATAAAATATTTGTGTATATAAAATTTCCACTATAATACTGTAGTTTAAAATAGTAAAACCATCAATAACAATCTTAAAGATGATTATGATGATAAATGTATGATGTACTGAAGAGTGACAGATATTGCTAAAATACAAAATCATATAACGTTTGTTTTACTTTTACAGATGATTATTATATTTACGTTGAATCATCCTACAGCTCTAAATATGGATATCTTGAGAGTCAAACGATACCGCCTACTTGGAATGAAGTTTGTCTTAAATTCTACTATTATATGAGTGGAAATTCAAATCAATACCTATACATCTATAGATATGACTATTATTATACAACCCTGTTCTACGCTTACGACGACTACAGCAACCAATGGAAGTATGCCAGTGTAAATTTTCAAAATAGTTACTATGCTACCCTGAGACTAAGAGGAAGAGCGTATACCTATAATAGTTATTACCCAGAAATGATAGCTGTTGACGATATTTATATCAGTGAAGGAAATTGTTCAAATGATCAGGGTAAGATCTAAATACTCAAATATACCACCCTCACAAAAAACTAGGTAAGCTAAAGAGAACTCTAGTTTATCACAGCTGTATTATAGTAAAGTAATTGAGTGATATGTATAGTCTTATTCTTAAAATTACAGAAAAAGACGGTCCTCAATGCCATAATCAAATTATATATTACTTCTATTTTCTTTTGTTTTAGAAACACCTCCAACGTCATCAAGAACTGATATAGAATCTAAAACTGGTAAGTTTGAATGGTTCTGGTTCTGGTGGGTAAAGCCGACCTCCTAAGGACTCCAAAAGGAGGGGTACAAATAGTGTGGAATGATAGGAGGAAAGGTCCACCACCGCAGCGTCAGACATGAGCAGGTATGCCTTACGGCCTCAGGCTGCATTGGACCTGATATAGGTAGGAAATTCAGAATCACACGAGCATCGACTTTGCAAAAAGAAAAAAATAATAGCCTCCTAATAATAAAGCAAACTTTTGGTAGTGAAATCACGGAGCGTTTAGAGATAGAGTACGGTAAGCGAGGAATTACACCTCCAAGGAAGGAGGCGAGAAAATTAGGCCTAAAAAGAATGAATGGCATGCAAGGAAGGTACGAGTGTGTCAAGAATGGAGTATTAATTAATTAATTTAAACTGGGTACAAAATAGAATAGTATGAGTATAATTTCCATGAGTCCTGTCAATAGAAGAAAAAGCAAGAACAAGAAAAAAGGACAAGAAATAGGATGAGTGTATTGGTTCTGACGTATCTAAATCTAAAAATTTAAAATCTTTGCAGATATTAATATTTTGACGTACTGTGTATCCTATCGTACTCCTTTTTTCAGATGTTGTATGCAGTGATTCTTATATGACCGTTTATTTGGATTCTTCAATTAATATCAACGGTAGTGTGCACTTCCTTGATGCAACATGTACTTCTGCTGGATACGTTTATCGTAATGGCATTCGATGGATTTATCTTTACACTCGATTTGATCAATGCCGAACCTCAATGACGGTAAAATTAAAATTATAATAGGATAAACTAAAAATATATTTAAAAAAAAAATTACGGTACATATTTTTTACGGACGGTTAAACTTATGTTACCTAATACCGGTACCACACAGCTTACAATGTGTTATAACTGTTCGCTACAATTTCTTAATTGTATATAAAATGATTCACCCAATACAATCCTGTATATTAACGAAAGAAACTCCCGTAAGACGCCATTTTCTATATCTTCTTTTATTTATTGTAAATAATTGTATTGTGTAATTTCAATATTTTTTTTTATCAATGTTGCTCTTTATGATTTGCTTGAGATAATTTTAAGGAACATCGATCTGATTTCTATGTTTTCTTTTTTTTTTAATAACTTAGGCCAAATATGAAGTGATAATTGATAATATTTTGTAGACATTAATATTTTACCCCTTGCACAGGAATTATATAATTGATTTCTGTTTTATTAACATTATTACGCCAAATATTATTTTCAGTCAACGTACACTTCGACAACTTACCACAATCAAGTAATCGCATCCGAAAACGGAGTGATTTCTCGAGCAGACGATTTTCGCATTTCCGTTGAGTGTGAGCTTGACAATAGAGGGCGATCATCTGTTAGTTTCAATCCAGAGACCGAAGAACAAAATTTTTTAAATAGACAAAATGGAAATTTTACGTTTACGATGGAGCTGTACACGAGTGACGATTACTCAACTCCCTATTCATATTTGGACTACCCTGTTGAATTAAGCCTTGACAGTAATGTATACGTTGGTGCGAGCGTGCAGACTTTCAGTAACGATATGGTTCTTTTTGTGGATTCTTGTAAGGCGACACCTAATCCAGACCCAGATGCTCATCCAGAGTATCAAATAATCGAAAACAGGTAATGTTTTTATAGCATTTTATTTTATCAGAAATATGCATATTACATTTAGTACTACTATTGAAAATAAAGAGTATGTGTATATTCGTGTTGTTTGCTGACTTACTGTAAGACACTTAGCAAATATAGAATTTTATTTTATTGTACAATACAAAATATATATTATATACAAATAATTTGTATTACACATTTATTTACAGTAAATATATAATATATATATATATATTTGAATTTGATATATATATATATATATATATATATAAGATGTGTACGGAACAGTAGAGAAAATCCGATCAGAATGACATAATAAACTAAGCATCCACTGTATGTATATGTATGTATATATGTATTATAGGCCTATATGTATATATGTATATATATATATATATGTATATATATATAGGCACATTATTTATTATTATATACAGATTGTGTAATGCTATAACCATGGATAAAATAATTTTCTCCATGCTATAACCATCAATAGAAGTATTTAGGGCAACCAATTAAATAATATGTTTTATTCTACATTTCAGAATCGACTTCAAAGAAAATATTTCCAGCGTTTTCTTCAACATTGCTGTTTGCTGTTAGTCTTGTGGTCCTGGCAGTTGGATGCATCTATTGGTTGAGAGGTCGGGCAAATACCAGGAGGAATATGTACCATCAACTGGAAAATAACATGGAAGATTGATTAAAATCTTAGTTCACCGCTTTTATAGTTGCATAGTTGGTTGAGCCAATTACGTAACAATGTCTTTAATTTGAGGCATTGTCTCATGTCACATCGAGTTAACATCGCGTCACATCGAGTTAACATCGCACATGGTTGAATAAATTTTAGATAGCCAGATAGATTAAATAAATATGAAAGTAATTTAATTTCTGATATTTAATAAGTGACTGTATAATTTATGAAGGTTGTGGTTTCTTTTAAATAATTTACTATGTGATTGTACATATTTTCATATGATTTACTAATATTTGGATAATCCATAAAAGCATCGGAAGCTTAGTAATACAATTTAAGAATCTGAGTTAATAGTACGCCGTTGCCAAAATGCATGTCTGTTGGAAATCACGTATGTGTTACTGTCCTTTTAATTTGTGATTGTAAGTGAATAATTTGATTTAATGAAAGTTAGATAATACTGATAGTCAACTTCGTTTGTGTTAAATGTACATTGAAATACACAATTTCAGGGAAAGTCATTGCTTGAGAGGAGTTGCGGCTTATGAGAGCAAAAAAAGGTCGACTAACTGTGATGCAGGGCCTTCCGATATCAAGAGGTAGGCCTACATAAATTATCAATGCAACAAGACGGTTTAGGTGTGATTTTAATAGGTCAGGGTACAAAACCTCCATAAGCTGGCAAACATTATTCAAGTGGAATTTGTTTAGACATTTAAATAAAACAATAATCTGATCAACTGACACAATTGAATTAATCTGATACAGTGGCCTATCCAGGGGTACACAAAATGGTCCCCTCCCCCCACATATTGATAATATATTATATAATATAACCTTTCTGCTTTTTCGTTTTGATTTTTCTTTTTTGTTTTTAATTTGGCTTGAAATTTCTTTTGATGCTGCCTTCGGCCTCCTTGGTTTTTCGTCTTAAGGACCCAATGGAAATAAGACCTTTTTAGGACATTTTTGGGCTATCTTTGCATCTCCTTGAATTAATTCCATCAATTCCTCCATAAATTTTACTTGAACTATAGTACCGTACTCGCGCGAATAAGCGCCCGGGCGCTTAAAATACTTTTTGCACTTTCTGAGGGGTGCTTATTCGAACGCGTACGGAGCACTTATTTAAACGGGGCGCTTATGAAAACAGAGTGGAAATTGAGGGGGCACTTATGGAAATAGATGAAAATCGAGGGGTTCTTAAGGGAAATTATTTTAATAATTGAAAATTATAGAGGCACTTTTTGAATGAAAAAAAAAGATTATATAAGGACATTACGAATGGTGGTTAGAAAAGATAATCGTCCAGAGAACGTAGCCCATAACAAGAATGCGGGAATATTTACATAACAGCAAAATAGCAGATGCAATTAGTGGTGGGTAGTGGTTGTTGGCCATCGGCCGATTGAGATTAGCAGGATGGCAGGATCATTGTATTTTTCTTGAGAACTCAGATGAGAATGTGCTTAAGGTCGAAAAAAGAAAAAGAGGAGTAGGACTAGACATAGACAAATAAGTAAAAAGATTAAAGTTGGAAATATACTGTCTGTCCAGGGATCGGAGCTCACGTCTATCCAGGATCGGAGCTCTCATCTGTCCAAGAGAAATATCCTTATTTTGATATTGACTGAAGAAGAATGTGTTTCCACTCTACAGCTCAAATCATGGCAACAACCACAGTCCAAGGATTGATTGGATTATTGACTTGTTAAAAAAAAAAATCTTATGAGGGGGCGCTTATTCAAACGGGGCGCTTAAGGAAATTTTCACGGGGCGCTTATTCGCGCGAGTACGGTATTGGCCTTTTGTTTGTTTTCTTGTTAACTTTTTCTGATGAATTTTATGCTTTTTACATTGTGTATTGTTTTAATGATTGTATTTTATATGAGATACGAATAAATCAAATCAAAATCAAATAAAAAAATAATGTCCCAAGCAAAACAATCACGCTCATGTAGTAACACATTACCTCATATCAACATTTTTTGCGAACTAGCACCCTTACTTTATATTATCGATCCCCACTCCAACTTCGCCTTACCCCCTACCCAACCCATCAGCCTCGCCACATTTAAAGACTCCTGATACGCCACTGATCTGATAGGCCTACACATCTGATACAATTTGAAATAAACTGAAAACCATTGATTAAAGGGTATTAAAATCGAACCAAAATAACATCAAACCAATTCCACAAAATCTCAAATAATCAAAACAGCACGGAAATTACACGAAGCCAGAAAGATCAATTAAACGCCATGGAGAGGCGGATCCAGAGAATTTCTGAGGGGGAGGGGGCACAAAATGAAGTTCATGCCGCCACGCCCACCTCACCCCCACCATGGCTGGTGTAAATATGTGGTAAATAATCGACCTCTCCTTTCTCACCCACTGCTTGATCACCACTGAACTCATGGGTGCACTCCTTTAATTCTTCTTCTTTCCTCTCTTTAACTAAATTTTTCTCCCTCTTTTTTATTTTTCGGCTTGACTGACGGGGGGGGGGGGGGGGGGTGGGCACGAGCCCTGATGTCCTCCCGCTGGATCTGCCACTGAAACGCATGCACACCGCCCACGCTACAGACATAGGGAACCTAGCCTAACTTCTAAATATACCGTAACTAACCAGCCTCCTAGCCTATTGTAAGCTAACCTAAATTAACCTAATCTAATCGAACCACCTAAACCTAACCTTAACCTAACTCAACCTAATCTCACCGAATCTAAACCTAACCTAACATCAGAGAAATTAGGTGGACTTGACAAGGAAGGTGAACACTCCCTATATACGATATATTTCTGCTAAGCGTCCATGCCCATGAGTTACTTTGTTTTAGTTTTTTAGTATTTTATATCCATCATCACTGTTAACCAACAACGATAAGCATATAATCGTGTAAAGTAATTAAAGTTGATAAAGAAGAGAAAACAAATTGAAAATACCTAAATCACCAAAACAATAAGCATATAATCCTGCTGCAATATACTAAACAAATTATATAACTGATTAGAAAATTCAACCCTTCAGAAACAAATCTTATTCGTTACATCAAACAAAACATATCATCGCACCACCAGTGATGGCGCCAGGGTTTGCCCGACGACAAAAGGCGGGCGTGGTCGGGCGTCGCTCAAAATCTCTAGAAAGTGTTTCAGGGGAGGTAAAGCCCCCCGCCCCATAAAGAATTGTCAATTTTGGGGTTTTGAGAGGCTTATTTGATCGATTTTTGAATCTACTAATATGTAGAAAATATAGACCATATATTTTTTTCCTCGACGAATTGTGGTTTTCTCCCCGATGGGGTTCCTGGCACCCGGCCCCAGCTGACCCCATCCCTGTGCACCACACATACATATGGAATCAAGTACAAAGCGGCCAAACAATGCACAAGCAACAGATTATAAATGAATTGATTCAGTTATTTTCCCTGATTACATTGAATCATAAAACTCTGTCCACATTATCACATTTTCTTTGACAAAAACCTGTTGTATGTCTATATATAGCCATAATGTGCCTATATATGGTCATGATGTGATGTCATCATGGCCATAATTTAGGCAAGTCACATGCTTAGTCAAATAAAATCTGATAGTCTGGACAGGGCTTTAGATTATAGAAACTTCTAAGAATTTTCTAAATTCAGGAGCAAGCTGATACTGATGATGATGTTGTTGTTGTTGAGGATAATTATGATGATGATGATGATAATGACTTTGATATAATCCGTATACACTGATTATTACTGAATATCGATAGATTGCTGCAAAGTGTTCAGGGCAACCAGCGCAACAAAGTAATAAAATAGGCCTTATTTTCTGTTGTAAAATATATTAAACATGTGTTACGTTTGTTTAAATTTTATGCCTAATTCTACTAGAACCAAACCAGCATCGACATGCCTTCTCAGCAGTATTGCGTACATTATCTTGATACACACATCAGCATCATATTTTGCAACAAATAACTATCCTGACTTGACAGAAGACTATTTTGTATCAACCATATGTTTGAGTGATGTTAGTGTTTTGCAAAAGACAAATAAGTTCGTCTCTGCAAGTGATGTTGCTATATGGTTTTAAGAAAGGATAATAATGAAACCCTATTGGAAGATAATGGAATGTATAATCCTTGAATCTAATTGGCTTTTTCACATGCTCGAAATTTTGTTAGCATATGGTGAAACCTATATTGATTAGATTATGCTCAAAATGTTATAAATAGTAGGCCTATTTGAATGACTGTAATATAGTTTCATAACATAATGATACCGTATCTTAAATAAACACTTACACAATCAGTGACGGCTAATGTTTTCAATATACTAATAAAAAAAAACTTAATGAAAAAGTTGTTTGTTGTTGAGTGAAGCAATATTAGTTAGTTGCCAAAACAATAGCATAGGTTGAATTAATTAAATTAGTAATCAGTTTATTGTAGATAACAGAAAAATATATATAGTATTTTGTCCAATGCATTCTATAGTAACAGTAAAAACTAAATTTTGCTCATAATCATTTGAAATCATTCCAAGGTACTATTTTACAATTTTTACAACTCCCAATCCTTTTATGGTCTGCGTCATCTTCGTTCAATTTTTGATAACAGAATATTCTTCTCATTATTGATGAATAATCCCATCGTAAATAATTAAGATTAACAAATGATATCTGGTATTTAAACGATTATCCAAATTAAACATATTCATTTTAGTTTGATTATAACTATTGTAAAATGTATAGATGTCTGTCAAACAAACTTAAATATTCAATGAATAAGAGGCTACGTGGCAGCAATACTCCGTGAGGGGAGGGGGTGCAATCGCATACAAATACAAAAAAAAGCAGAATAGGAAGAAATTTCTTTGCTCTATGCATAAACCCACACGCATTGCTGAACTCCCATCTACGGGAGATGTAATTACCCTCAGCATAATTTAGAGTTCTTCTGGTGTATGACTAAATACTGGCGGTAAAACATAAACAGTAATCATACCTTGACATCAATTTGGTTTTCTTGTTGTCGAAACTGACCAGCTATTCACACTCCATTCCGAGCTCCTTAAGAAACTCACTGAAAGTTGTTTGAGAAGCAAAACTAGTGTTAGGTGAAGTAAAAACTATTGTTTACTGTAATATTTAATTTAATAATGAAAAACAAGGTTGATTGACACGCAATGTCTCGATACTCTATGTTTTAATTTATTAGTAATATAGATAATAATTAATTTAATTTGGACGACGCCAAAACAACATTCACTGACATATGGTCACTCCCATGCATAAATGTATATATATAACATATCTGGCAAATGTAAGTAAACTGTCATAAACGATTGCATACAAGAGGATGGAAGAAAGCATTTGGTTCCTGTGGCTCTGTTGCCTGTGTCTTACATTTGGTAAGTGTCATTAAGAATAAGATTTCATCAGTCACATTCTTTTTGCTGACTTGTGTTTTTAACAATACAAATGCATACTGGTCAATTACATTCGTGAAGTGTGAAACTCTATACATATGCCTAGACTATTTATTTTTCCAATCGAAAGATTTTAAGAGTAAATCATTTTCTGTTATTGACTATTGAGCATATTTCTAATATTCTCAGTACTACCTTTATATGATGCACTGGCTTAAAATATTGAAGCTCACATATATATACTGTCGATTTCAGCTGGCAGAATAGGTTGTTGAGGCCTAATTGGTTTTACTTTGTTATTCCATATTACATTAGTTTGAAATAACATTATTTTTATTCAAAGTAATTGATGCTATTTTCTTTGATACAATATTTGATTTCATATTCTTGATCTTAATTATTAATATATTTAATGAGCGAATGATGAATATGTAAGATGTTCTGTAGTTGAAGTAAACTGTTAACAAATTGTATATTTTATTTCAATTTCAGAATATACATCATCTTATACAACAGGTATGAACTAATACCAAAGACAATAAATAGCAGAAGATAGAGGAGCTTGCCAATATATTGGAGCAACCGTTCGAAATGCATTGTGGGTACACGGAGAGCAATATCACCCCGTCCGCACTGCGGCGCTTTTTATCAATGATAAAGGCACCGCTTGACGTTCGTTTGTTTTCTGTCGTTTCTCCACTTAGTCAAATGGTCAAATTTTACCCCGCCGCTCGCGGGAGGGCAGATGTTCCATCAATGTTATTGCAAATACGCGGTTGTAATGCAAATACGCGAAACAGTTCATTCTTCTGCTATTCAAGTTCTTTGCTAATACCTCATAACATTATTGTCGAAGTTACCACTTTTAGGCACAGCTGTTACTACTACTACTACTACTACTGCTGCTGTGTTGTTTCTACTACTTGCTACTACTAATAATATTATGC